GTCTCCTGAGCTCAAACATAATCTCTGCGGCCCTTCGGCGCCGGCGGTATAAATCCTCCTCAGCAGGTACGAGTGCAAGATGATCCTTGCGGAGCCATCTCATCTCGCTGTATCCGCTTTTGGGTACCTAGGGTTTCAAAAGATAACTATGATGGTGAATGTCTCCAGCAACACTCCTATTGAGTTTTTTATTCACTCTTTCCCACCTCATTCATCGTCAGGGTTGTTGTTTATCCTGATTGCAAGATAGCTGAATGACTTGCACCTTTCTTTTGTTATGACATTGCGTGGTTTGCAGATAGCCGTGGAGAGTTGCTTGCATGGAGATCTTGACAAGGTTTATGCTACGCTTAAGCGTTTGGAGGAAGCAGAGAATGCAAAGATAGACATACCCTTATGCTGCGGGGACTTTCAGGTATCTCTTTAAGGAATCCATGGCCAATTTTAGCACCTTGGTCGACCATCAATTAGTCAATATGAACTGTTCTAGATCAGAGTTGGATCTAATTGGTTTGGTTGAACTGGTATCCTAATAGGCCGAACCGGCTACATTGGTCTAGAACAGTTCATATTGACTAATTGATGGCTATACAGACTTGAATTGTTCCAACTAGGGCTCGCTCATGCTTTAACAGTCAAGCCGATTCTAAAATTTATTGAATTTGTCCCTTGGAGATGACCAATCCATGTAGGTGCTTGAGCTTGACGGACCCACAGGGGCATGCCTCTTTTGTGAACAATTGTGTGCAATGCGAGCGTGACATGCACGATCATTTCATATTGCTAGACCATTTTGTTGAACACTTGAAGCTGTTGGAGGAAGCAGCTGATTAACTAACATAGAGGAAACACAAGAAATGATGTCATTAAAAGCTATGTGCACTTGGATAAAGGAGCCACATTGAAAGTGTCACGACCCGGGCCTAGAGACTCAAATTAATGAGGCGGGAACGGACGATCGGATGATTAATATGTTTCTTCAATTGCACATAAATAATAAAATCTAACATCCCTCAAAACTGAAGAGCCACTGAAGCAATTTTATATTAAGCATAAATCTAAATCATACAATCAAATATTTACTTGTTTTCATTCGATTAACTTCTTTTGTAGACATATTCCTTTCTTTCAATCATTTATATTTATCATAATATTTACCTAAAAATTAAATTTTACAGTATGAGTTTACATAGTAAACTTAGTGGATATTGGATAATCACAAACTTATAATATAGTTGTTAACCATATAAAATAAAACATGCATGCTCCTTTTCATACAACTTATCCTCCTTAAGTGTTTGCAACACTGCATGCTAATGATTTGAATGACTTTCTTCATCTCTTGAGTAAATCAAATTGTCATCTATAAACACAATAAAGTGTTGATAAGCATGATTTGAATGCAGATGATTTGCAGCATTGCAAGCAGTAACTCGTTTGCTAATAAGTGTAGGTTTTGAAGGTGGAACTGAAGTTTCAAGGAAAATCTTCTCTGTTTTTTTAGTAGCCATATCAGTAAATTAGGGCGCAACTTAAAGCTTCTAACTGATAGCTAAAAAAAGCAAGTTTCATCAATAGAACTTCTCAAAATGTTTCTTCAAATCTCAGGTCATGGGTGAGTTACTTGAACTAAAAATTCATTAGTTTTGTCCCTGAGAATTTTTATTTTGAATTGTTTATTTGTTGAAAATTGGATTTGAAGAGAATGTCAACACTTTGCATGCATTTAAACCAGCATTTTGTACCTTGTCATTTCATGTGAATTACCTTGGGCTTTTATTTATGTGACATATGTATACATAGTTTGCTAGTTTCTTTGGTATGCAACTGATTTGATTCCTTGATTCCATAACCCTTTCCTCCCACCTACAATAAAAAGAAAAAAGAAAAAAGAAAAAAAAAAAGTTTTATTGCTAACCAATATGCTTAAAAGCTAATGCTAATATTTAGTTTCCACAAGCAAAATATTTTTCAAATATAAGTGTTGAATCCCGATTTGTCCGATGGATGATGAGAGACTGTACTTTATTGATCTACCCATAAGCTAAAGACTTGTAAGTGTGGATGATCAGGGACTCAGGGTAGACAGAAAGAGAATAGAAAGTGGATCTAGACAAAACCTTTATTATCCCGACCAGAAGTACAAGAGGAAGAGGGTGAGAGCTCTATTCAGTAGAGCTTAAACTAGAAAGAGGAGAAAAGCTGGCACAATCCCTCTTAAACTTTATAGGATTTGAAGGGTTACGGTAGATGTACGAAGTACAGGAGTTGTACTATCAGTTCTTGATAGAGCTTGGCCGACTGTGCCGAGTGGCATGGCGATCTTGTGAGAGAGGATGAGGTGATCCCTTGAGAATCTAGAGATCGAGTCGGTGTTGGGTAGGGTCTCGTTGAGCTTGATGGTGATTCGTTCTTTTAGGATATTGTTAGACCGGTCCTCCCTGGACCGGTCCAGCCGGCCCAATCCAGCGGGCCGGTTCGCGTCTACCGAAGGAGGCGGGCGGAGAAAGAAGCGGACGGCGCAGGGAGGCTAGAGGTGGGGCCCATGTGAATTTCAAATGGTTTCTTGGAGCCAAAACGAAGGGAAGTGAGGGCAATTAGGTCCTTTTGTGTCTATTTTGAATTGTATGCATTAAGTAGGGAGTAATGGGGTGGTTTAGGGTTAGGTGATTGTTTTGAAGTTTTCTCTTGTTCTTCTTGTTGATTTGGGCTCTAGATCGTATTCTAGAGACTTGGGAGAGTGCGATCCTCCTCTCGAATAGAGGATCCTTGTATCTTTGCTATTTTTCCTTTCATCTTCTAGTAAAATACAAGTTCGTACTTCGTGTTTCTATCATTTTTCTCGTGTTTTTCCCACTGTTTGGCTGATTTCCTGCTGTGGACAGCAGTTTTGCTGTGAGATCTTTGGCTAAAGTGATTAGGAAATACTTGGAATCAAGTATTTCCTATCAGATATCTTGAGGATGAGATGTGTGGCTTTAGCTTAACTTTTGATAGGCCTGGCATAGGAAGCTTGACTTTGGCTGAGGTGAATAAAGACTTATCTGATTAAGAGAGGAACCTTTGTGGTCGCCTTTGCCGGGGAGGGCGGCTGCCTAGAGATTGTGGCCGAAGATGATTCGTCGTGCTCCAGTGATTAAGCTCTTTCCCAGCTCCTCAACAAGCCTCTTGAATGGACTGTCCTGTAGGAAGGTTGAATATACTTCCGCTCAACCCTAACTTGGCTGTAAGTACCAGCACAAACAGTCATGGGTTTACAATTAGATTGAATTGTGTAAAGTTTTGACTGCTTAAACATGCAAAAAATGACTGTCTTGCTTTCTGCATCCATTTGTTTAGTCTTTGTTAGTTCAGGATCAAGATTATACTGTGCTATTGTTTAATCTTGCTTCACACAAAGAGACTTGCATATACTGCAGGCCTTCCTTCATAGTGGACATGCATATTCAATAGACTTCTATCTGAGACTTTTTTTGCACTGAAATAGTTGTGAAGGGAGATATTGTAGACGCTTTCTTTGAGGTATTTGTTAGAAATCTCATTTTCTTTTTTAGTTGAAAAAAAAAAAAAACTAGAAATCAAACAAACAGAGAATTTGCCAAATGTCCAGGTCACTTCTGTGATACTTGTGTTGATGATTCTGAACAATGATTCAATCTCTATCCAGCCAAGCCTTAATAGCATGATTTGTATTGTTTTTTATTCTGGGTTAACTTCAAGGGGTTTATTAGATGAAGTGATGCAAACATTATATCCTCTATTTTTCTTGTTTTTCCAATGCATTCATCTTGAACTTAGCTGTAAATTCGAGACCTTAGAAACTTCCCTAGCTTTCTAGGTTAGTTTCCAGTCTACATATGGAATGACTTTACCATTCTCTGCTCATGCTTTGAACCTATGTGGAGATTCCTAATTGCTTGTTATTCTCACTGGTTTATTTCATATCGCAGTTAGCCTAAGTTGTCACAATTTCATTACATGAAGCTAATATAATTAACATGTTGATTGACTAAGGCATTCTCTTCTTTCCCTCCACAGAAATCTTGGTGCCTTGACAGAAATTACTAAGAAATAAGAATGGTAACAAGGCCGGCTTTACTTAACAGACACAGCTAACTGTTCGACAACTCTAAACACCTCAACAAAATTCTCTCCTACAAGCTCAACAAGCAAGTATTTTCACTTGAATGTTTTTAACTTTTGTATGATGTTTGCTTGCTGGTTTTTGAAATTTAGTTGGCATTTGTTCCATTTAGCTAACAATTTGCATGTTTTCCTGTAATGCAATATGTCAAATACTTGATCTTTAAGAACTTCATTTAACTAAGGGTGTCCTTTAATAGAATTTAAGTTTGCTTTACTCCAATATTGGTAGTGATGATTGATAGATAACTTCTTGAGAGACTGTGGTGCTTATATTGCTTGAAATGTGAATAGAAAAAAGAACTCTCCAAATGGATGTAGATGAATAGCGATTAAGAAAGAGTTAGAAAAGATTAATAGATTGTGGTTTTCTAAGGAAAAATGCACTTGCAACTGCATCATGTTGTATCTTTTTGAAGGCAAAACTTGGGTAGTGTAACACCTAATTTTCCTCACCTCACCAAGAGAATATACATTATAACAGTCAATAGCCAAACTCAGAATAAGTTTCTGACTGACCCATGAATCCAATTTCCATCAGTTAAGTTAACATGGGCCATCCATATTCTCCAGCTCTGATAGGAATGCTCACTAGCATTCAGGCAATAAACAACTACCCACACTGTGAACTTTCAATTGTATCATCACATTACCAAGGCTATCTAACTTGCATTGCCCTTGAAATCCATATGTTGCTTGGCTACCATGATAAGATTTAGATGATCTACGTTAACTTAAGTCGCTCTCATCACGATGTTGTTAGTGTATCATCACTTGACATGTGGCCACTCATACAGAGGCAACTATGTGCCCAAAGCTTATGATTGTATCATATCGTAACATCTTTGTTTCACGATATTGGTAGGTCAGGCCATTCAGAGTTAGTTCGTAGCCTCCACGTGGGCCACTCCTTTTGGTGCTAGTAGAGATTGTTTTGTAACCGTCGGCTTGCTTGTCCACGGCATTGTCCAAGTGGCTAATTGAAGTAACTATTGTTACCTAGACGTTGCTAGCGAAAGAGACTTTTATGACTTGAGCTTTTGAACATTTATAAAGCCTTTGAGAGTCTGAACTTAGTGAAAAGGAGAGGAAGAGGAGGAGATTAAGTGCTTGTCATTTCTTCTTCTTCCTCTATAGTGATACATTTTCACTTCCCTATAGTGGAAGCAAGCTATCACGGTTGAACTACTGAAATATAATCTCCCTTTGCTATAGTTGTTTTTATATTTGTTCTCTTTTAGTAATTTTATTTAATTGTAGTAAACTCTCCTCAGTAAATTAAACTAACTTAAAATGATTCTGTATGGAATTCCATTGAAGCGATAAGAATCTCTGTGTCGATTTCAACTCTTTCATAGGTAGTACGTAATTTCTCACGGCCTCCTTGTGTGTATGAGAGAAGTTTGAGGTAGTTTTTTTGAAATAGATCGTTTTGCTTAATCAAATTCCTTATAATATTTGATATGAGTTTATTTAGATTTTGGGTCGAGACTTCTCGTGAGTACAAGCCCGTATAACTAATTACCTCTCTTGATTGTGGGTTTTCACTCTTGATTAAGGAGATTTCTTAGGCTTAAGTATTTGCTCATATTTGATTGCTTTGGAAATGATTAGGTGGATGGAGGGATGCTCATTCAAGCTCTTATGGTTCAACCATCTTCGATCTACTAGCGATCCTAGTCAGCCAACAACCGTGTACTATAAGCTGTAATATTCAAGGAGCCTGATTAACAACATGGGCTTTCTTTTCTCACATTACCAAGCTAATTTTGGTGATGTTTGTCGAAGTCATGCTTTTGAGATCGACTCATTGTCATAAACTTGCTTACGTGCAAAGGGTTTGTTGTACCATGTTCATTAAATGATTCAACGGCGTGTGACATTGCCACTTGTGGTTTAAAGGTGCTAGACATGGTTAATAAGGATCCACAAGCATGGCATGACTATCAATCATTCAAAAATTTTTGTATGAGCTGGAGAAGTATGTCGAAGATGCATGGGGTGTGGGCTTGGTAGCATGGGTTGTAGCCATAAAATCCATGACACTTGGCGCTAGTTGGTGGGTTTGCTAGCATGTATGTTACCCCTTAATCAATATTTGGCTGATGAGCGTATTAGCATGGGAGCTAGCCCAAGTTACTATTTAGTGGCCTATTGTTGTTGTAGTTATGAAGTTGGCTAAGGTTTAGGTATTACATACCAAGGAAAGCCCACAAATTTCAGCAAATGAAGATTTGATTAAATGGGGTTGTTGTTTTGTGCTGGCTTGAGTTACTTGCATTGAGGCTTACATTCAAAGAAAGGCCCAAAAGTGGAACTTACCTTTTGAGTACTATGAAGGCCTAAGAGTGATGCTTTGATTTAATGGTCTTGTTGGTATGCACAGGGTGATGAAACCATAGACTCTTGATCGTGTCTATCTTAATCTCCTAGCCATCCACGGAATACAGATAGATTAAATCTAATTTACCTCATGGAAAATGAACTCCTGAGTGCAAAGTAGTGTTAGTGTTTTTCCTAGCAATCAAACTAATGCATTTGCATGATAAACATATCTATAATGACTTCTAGCAAAATTTGTAAGAAACACAAATTTTATGCTTTGAATGGATTTAAGTAACAAATACTAAATTTGTAGCCTTACAAATATAATAGTGATTTACATTTTACACTCAAAAGTAACATCAATAAAAAAAATTAATTTGAGCCATTTTTTATTGGACTTACTTTATTTTATAAATTTTAATTAATTTTGGGTAGTTTGGATGTGCTTATGATGTACACCTAGTTGAACTTCTTGTGTTCTCATACTCTAGTACTTGTTTGTTGCAAATCACCCTATACAATCTGGACAGCATTTCAAACAACTGCAGTTCATTCAGATTCCTCAACTTCAAGCACAGTTGGCTCAGTAAGTCTTATCATGGTTCAAACAGAGGACTAAACACTAAGGGCCTTTTTGAATTAAAAAAGAGAGGAAATGAAAAAAATAAAATAGATATAGAAATGAAATTGAATTGAAATTAGATGGTCAATTGATTTTTATTTTGACCTTGTTTAGTTGATGAAAAATTGAGCTTTGGATACTCGCTAGGACCGAATATGTTAGACATAGTGTTAATTCACAAAAAAAATTTCTTTCTCTTTACTTGAGTAGGATAAGGGAATTGTAGAATGAAATATACCTTTATTTATATTTCTTAGGTAAATCAAATTACATATTAATCACATTGAGAACAAACACCCATTATGAAGTAAAATGCGTTTACCCTCTCTCTTACTTCTTCAAACCAAATTTAAGGGAGTATTTTGTTTGAAGGTATTGGGAATGGAAATGAGTTTTACTTCACAATTCAATCATTAGTGGTTGGTTTTATTATAATTAATTGATGTTTAAATTTATCTGGATGAATGAAGAAATACATTTTTTTTCTTAAATTGACAGTTTTCTATCGAGTTCTGGTGAAAAATAGATGAATTTTTTATCAGTTCATTATTGTTGCTCACATATTTGTTTTTTATTAAAGTAAAAATTTAATTTCTCATCAACTTTTTTTTTTGGCTTAGATTTCTGCTCAACCAAACAAATGATTGAAGTATAGTCTCTAATAAATTCCTTTATCAGTTGCATTTAACTTTTTTTTATCATATTTTTTCTATCAATTCCTTCAAACCAAACTGAATCCAAATAATTTGCATTGTTTTTTTTTTAAATGATGTAACACTTTCAAGACCATTTCATTGATACAGGAATGTATTTACTATGTGAACGGTTCCAATTAAAGTAGAAGCTTTCCATGAACTGATGGGTGTGGATTCAACACTAAAGCATGAACCTGATCATAACTGGTTGAGGCAGGAGTTATTAGTCAGCAGAATCAATACTCCCTTTTATGTAAATTATGCATTCAGGTAAGCAATTGTATTGAATTAATTTGAATAATACAATGAAAGATAAATATCATTCGTTAAACTCTGCTTAATTCTATGCTTTTTCTCCAACTATTTTAGCTAAGCATTTGAATGATTTTTTTGAACTTTTTTTTCTGATATTTTTTCTAGTTTTATGTATGAGGACTATGCAATTCGATATTTTTATGCTGAATTCGATATTTACTAAAAAAATTACGTTTCTTACAAATTTTGCTATGATTCATTACAAATATGCTTGCACGCAAGTGCATTAGATTGATTACTAGGAGAAACACTTAACACTACTTTGCACTCAGGAGTTCAGTTTCCATCAGATAAATTAGATTTAATCCAATTGTCCCTTAGCATTTTGATCCCACTACTATGATGGAAATTCGTGGGAAGCTCACCTATTAAATCATAGCCGTCTCTAGGCATTTTGATCCCAAGGTTAAGATGGGAATCCATGGGAGGCTCATCTGGATCACTCTTATCTCCTTCCATATTTAGATGGTTGATTTAGGAAGGGATTATATTAGAGCAATTATGCATTATTTTGTAATTATTTGTTTCTTTATTAAGATAACTTGTATGTATCTATAAATATATACAAGATTGTGCAATAAAATTAAGCATTTTACCTCTCCAATTCTCTGAATTTAACATGGTATGATAGACTTCATTGTTGTTGCCAGAATTCTGAATTTTTTTACTGTCGTGCCTTCTATGTCGTCCTTCCCTTGTTGTTGGTATCATATATATAACCAATGCAGCCTTCATAGTTGCCCTTTGCCGCCACAATGACTTAAGCAAATTCCTCTCAAAGCTTCGACCAAATGAAGGACACTATGGTGCACCAAGGAAGAGATCTCCAAAATATGCAACCTTCTTATCCATAAATGGGAAGAATTATTTAAAGTGGTCTCAATTTGTGTAGACCTATTTGAAAGGAAAAGGAAAGATGAATCACCTCATTGGGGTAGGACTAAAAGAAGAAATTCCTAATTTTTTGGCGTATGATGAAGCAAACTCCATGATCATGTCATGGTTGTGGAATTCCATGACTCCAGAAATTAGCGATACTTTCACATTCCTATGTGTTACTTTAGTTGTGCTATGCTGGAAAATGGCCAAAAAATGCGCCAAATTCTAAGTATCATCTAGTGTCATAACGTTAGACTAATCAATGCCGCAATGCCATTAGGTACACCACCGGAGCGCCACAATGTTGACATAATGGCGTGGAATTCTTTGTTTGACAACGTCGCGGCGTCAAAATGGTCAGCTTGGCAACGTCATGTTCACCGTTTTCAAGTGCCATGACATCACAATCTATCACGCATCAACGCCAAAATTGACATTCTGGCGCATCAGCGTTTGAAAGTCAGCAGCGCCGCGTCATAATAGTTGTAACTTTTGAAGGACACGATCTTTCAGCGAAACAATGCGATTGTTCACTAAGTAAATAATCCACATCAGTAGGTGCCGCGACGGAGAAAAAACATCAACGCAACGACGTTAGTTCATTTTATGGGCGTTGCAATGCTAATCTTTCAAGTGCTGCAGCACCTGTTGCCTAATTTGTATTTTCCTATAAATAATTATTGAGTTATGTTTGTAGAAGAGTTCATTCACTTGTATAATTCAATACTTTTCAGAGTATTACTTTATATCTCTCTTAGAGTCCAATCTAAGAGAGACAAGGGAAGTATCATATACAATCATTAGGGTGTTAGTGTGTGTTTGTTTGAGCAACTTCGTACATTAAAGAAGAAGAAGTGTAGAAGAGGCATATTGATCATTCCTTGTGATATTATTCTCTTGTATTTTTGTTCTTCTATGATTTCAATGAAATGAGTTTACTTATTTATTCTTTCATATTTGGCCAATTCTCTATTTTTGAATTGATGATGTATAAAATATATTAAGTACTAATAAAGATTCTTGTGCTCTAAAAGTGAAATGATGTTTTCAATATTATCTCATTTTTTATTTAGTGCATATAGTGATCATATATGTAGTTAAAGACTTGTGTGATGTATAGCCTTGATGGAGGAATGCAAGATCAACCAATATCCTTGCCAAAGAGGAGACATCCACACTAAATTAGTCATTTCTCTCATTCATGCTAAGGAAAGCCAACGAGGCGTAATGTTATAACCAAAGATTGCTGAAGGTTCAATAATGATAATAGCCAAAGAGGCATCATGGATGAAAAGGGGTAAGGATTTCTCAAAACTTCAAGATAAAGACCCTTATGTGCAAGCCATTGCATGAAATCAAAACACACGAAGGAGACATGTTGGAAGTTATATGAAAAGCCTCCAAGTAATGAGTGGAATCTTAGATAAAAATGAACATCACAAGCTAACACTACAACAAGTTAGCCCAACCAAGAAACACGATCTAGTTTTAGAGAACTCAACAAAAAAGATATTACAAGCTAAAACAACTCCTGATATCACTGGAAAAATCACCCGTATCTTTTTCTATTGTACTTTAAGGCAAATTTCTTATATTCATTGGATTAAGTGACTATAGAAATCATTTGAAAGGAGTATGAATTATTGACTCAAAAGTCACAAATCACATGGCACAAATCACTACCAACTTCATCAACTACCCTCCTTGCCTAAGTGAGAAGAAAATCATCACTGCTGATGGTTCTCTTACCACAATAGCAGACCAAGGAAACATATCATTATCTTCCTATCTCACTCTAAAAAATATGTTTCACGTACCTCAATTATCCACAAACTTAATCTCTATACAAAAATTTACTAGTGATCATAATTCTCAAGCCCTATTTAACCCTACTTGTTGCTTATTTCAGGACCAATGATTGGAGAAAAAGATTGGATTGCTAAGGAGAGAGATCGGCTGTACTACCTGGAAGAGCTGGACAAATCCACTATTATCAATAATGGTTATTCTATGTTATACTTATTTAATTAAAAAATCTACTATTTGGTTTTACATTTTAGATTAAGACATCCATTTTTTGATGTCTTAAAAGATCGGTACACAAAATTTTTTTACAAGTTGAAAAATGAATATTTTCATTGTGAAACTTGTGAGTTAGCCCAACATAAACGAGTTTTTATTTTAAAAAAAAATTGAGAGATGGCATGCCCCTTTCTATCTTATTCATAGTGATATATGGGGACCCTAAAAAATTCAACAAAATTGAGAGATATTATATTCCTTTCTATCTTATTCATAGTGATATTTGAGGACCATAAAAATTCAACAAAAATTAAGAGATGTCATTCCTTATTATGCACTTGAGTCTCTTGGATCTTTCTGCTAAAAAATAAATTCGATGCGAGCACAACCCTTCCCATTTTTCACACCATAATTCATAATCAATTCGGGGTAAAATTAAAAGCACTATCCTCCTACTTTCAAAAGGAATGTATCATTCTTGAGTCTTCATACATTCATACCCCACAAACAAACGGAGTTGTAGAAAGAAAAAAATGATCATCTTTTGGCCTCCACCCGTGCACTTCTATTCCACCACAATGTATCCAAATCCTACTGGGGGAAGCCCTTCTGACCGCTATATATCTCATAAACTGACTCCCTTCAACAACTTTGGGACTAAAATCACAAATGGATATTTTACACTCTTGTTACCTTGAATTTCGAACCCATAACAACCTCACACCTAGAATCTTTGAGTGTACTGTCTCTGTTCATATTCATAATCAAAATAGAGGAAATTAGATCCAAAAGTACTGAAATGTATTTTTGTTGGATATTCATCCACATAGAAAGGCTATTAGTGTCTTCATCCCTCTACGAAGAAAACTTTTGTATCTATTGACATTACATTTGATGAACAAAAATCTTATTTCACCAAATCTCATCTTTAGGGGGAGACTGAAATTGAGGAAGATGAGTAAAATGATATTACCCCTCTTGACCTTTCAGCTCCACCTCAAACCAATCCACCCAAACTTGAAATCAAAGCCAGGAAAACTGAGGACAAAATTATATGGATAACATGGGGTTTGGGAAAGTGTATTCAAGGCGTACAAATCCAAATTATGCTCCATCGCATATCCAAGAATCTGAATCGTCTCATCAAATTGAGGCAAATACAAGTTCACTAAAAAAACCTCCCTTGTGCCTTATAATTAGCTTTGTATCCTTCCATAATTTCTCACCTTCATACAAAATTTTTTTTATTGTATTAAATGATTTTCATATTTCTAATGATATTTCTGAAGCTTTATCTGATGAAAATTAGAAAAGTGCCATGAAAGATGAAATGCAGATCCTAAAAAAGAATAATGCTTGGGAGATCACTGACCTACATGTATGGAAAAAATTAGTCAGTTGTAAATGAGTGTTCTTTGTGAAATATTAAGCTGATGGTACACTGTAAAGTTATAAGGCAAGATTGGTGGTAAAAGAGTACACTCAAACGTATGAGATTGACTAACATGAAACTTTTCCACGTGTGGCCAAGATGAATACCGTGAGGCTCCTACTCTCACTAGCAGCTAATTATAACTGGCATCTAGAATAATTGGATGTTAAAAATGCATTCTTACACGGGAACTTGAAAGAAGACATATTTATGGAGATTCCACTAGGATTCAAGGAACAATCTGGGGGTAACAAACTTTGTAGGTTAAAAAGGTTTTATATGGACTAAAGTAGTCACCTAGAACTTATTTTAGAAGATTCTCAAAAGTCATGCTACTTAATGGTTATTGACAGAGCTAAGGAAACCATATATTCTTCTTCAAGCACTAAGACTTAAGAGAAGTCACAATAAGAAGCATATAAAGATGCAGATTATGCAGGATCAACAGTAAATAGACGATCTACCTTAGGATAATGCACATTCCTTGGAGGAAACCTTATTACATGGAGAAACAAGAAATAAAGTGTGGCAGCAAGATTTAGCGCAGAAACAGAATACATAGCTATGACCTTAGAAATATGTGAGCTATTATGGATCAATATAATTCTAAAAAATCTAAGGATCAAATGGAAAGGACCCATGAAGCTACATTGTGACAAAAAAAATTAATAATCAGCATAGCTCATAATCCTGTTCAACATAATAGGACCAATCACATAAAAGTGGATAAACATTTTATAAGGAGAAATTAAACGGTGATCTTATATGTATTGACCATGTCTCATCAAAAGACCAGCTTGCAAATATTTTTACCAAGGGACTTGATAACTCTTATCTTTTTGGGACTGATTACTAAGCTGGAAATGACAGATCTGTATTCCTTAGCTTAAGGGTGAGTGTTTAATCCCAGCCGTTCCTTGGCATTTTGATCTCACGGCTAGGATGAGAATTCATGGGAGGCTCACCTATTAAATCCTAGCCATCCCTTTTGGCATTTTGATCCCATGGCTAAGATGGGAATCCGTGGGAGGCTCACCTGGATCACGATGTTCTACTTCCATATTTAGATGACTGATTTAGGAAGGATTCATTAGAGCAATTATGCATTATTTTGTAATTATTTGTTTCTTTATTAAGATATATTGTATAGATCTATAAATAAGAATAAATTTGTGCAATAAAATTAAGCCTTTCCCCTCTCCGATTCTCTGAATTTAACAATAACCAAATTTTCC